TTTTGGAGTTTGAGTTAATTCAATTTCTGCAATATCAGCAGTGATTGGTACACTGAAATACTTCTCAAAGTTTGCTTCCCAATTCCAGCTACCATTTTCATCAAATACTACATCTCTAGACAAGATAGTCTTCTTAGTTATAGGATCAAATACCCTGTATCTTTTTTCACTAGTGTCATATCCCACAAAAATACACTTGGGACTTTTACACTCAAGCTTGTGTCTTAAATTCAATGGAACATGAACATAAAATATTGAACCAGAAACCTTCAAGTGTGCAATTTCTGGTTTTCTTCCACTATAGGCTTCAAAGGGAGTCATCTTATCCAAAGACTTAGTAGGGCATCTGTTGAGTAGATACACTCTTGTGTGCATGGCTTCTGCCTAAAACTGATATGGCATACCTTTCTCATGCAAAATAGTCTTTGCCATTTCCACCACAGTTCTATTTTTACTTTTAGACACACCATTGTGTTGTGGTGTGTATGACATGGTCAGTTGTCTTTGAATTCCAGTGACATTGCAGAAATCACTAAATTCAGTGGACATAAACTCACCACCTCTATCACTTCTTAGACACTTTATTTTGTGTCCACACTGCAATTTTACCATTGCTTTGAACCTTTTGAAGCACTCAAATGCCTCATACTTGTATCTCATAAAGTAAACCCATGTCATTCTAGCGCAATCATCTATGAATAGAATGAAGTATCTATTTCCAGCATTTGAAGCAATTTGCATGGGACCACAAATGTCTATGTGAACTAGTTCTAGTGGGAATTTAGTTCTCTAGGTTTATTCTCTTGGAAATTCATCTCTATGTTGCTTGCCAAGCATATATCCCTCACAAATATTCTCATAATCTTCCAAGAGTGGAATTTCATGGACCAACATTTCTTACTCTCTAAGTAACTTCAAGCTCTTTGTGTTTAGGTAACATGGTCTATTGTACCAAGTCTGAGTACAATGGGATAGGCTAGCTTTCAGTGCTAGTGATGTATTTGGCATCATAGTTAGAGGGAAACATTTGTTGCTTGTCATTTGAACCTTAGCAACCAAGCCATTCCAGTTTCAGTTGTCATAAATACAAACTACATCACCACCAATTACCATGTTCCAACATTTGCCCTACACATAGAAGATTTTCCTTTAAACCAGGTACCAGGATCACCTCTTGTATGTGTTTTCTACCCAACTTGGATTCAATGTCAAGTGTGCCCTTTCCCACTAAACTCACAATTTCTCTAGTTCCCATTTTTATTCTTGCATTAGATTTCTGTTCACATTCACAAGCAAATTCTCATTCTCTGTCTTATGATTATTGCAACCACTGCCAATACCAAGTATTATTGACCTTCACCTGAGTCACAGAGTTGCAAGCATAGAATAGTGTTCCTATTTCATCAACCTGATTTGCATAATTAGCCTTCTACACCATCTTGTTTCCATTACAGTTTCTAGCTTCATAACCAAACCTATTGCAATTTGTGCATTTGGGTTTTCCTTCAAACCAGCACTTCCCATAGTGTAGTTTATCAATGTTTGTAAGTTGTTTTGTTTGAATCATGAGTATTATTCTGCTTAGGAGCAAAGTTGGGCTTGCTATCCCACTTTTTCCCTTTGTTTTTCCAATTCTTCCTTGATTTTGGATTACCAGAGAACCCACTAGGCTTTGGAAATTTAGAACCAACATTTAGACTAGCAAATGCTTTTTCAATGGAGCTTTCAACATGCATATCTAGTCTTTGTTCATAACCCTTCAAAGAAGCTACAACTTCTGGATTTCAAGAGTTTCAATATCTTTTGAATGCTCAATCACAACATAAATTGTATCATAGCTACTAGGCAAAGTTATAAGCAAGGAAGAAAATATCGGTAATATCGAAAATATCGGTAGTCCGAAAACACGGAAATATCGATGGAAATATCGGCATAATATTGATATCAATATCGATAAAAATTACATGGAAACCACGGAAATTGTAAGAAAAACTTGGAAATTTTTAATGAAACTTTGCAGGATGTTTATTTAGTCAATTATCTATTAGTTTATCACAAAAAATTGGAAGGAAATGCATTGCATGATGGATTTAACTGATTTAAGTTGATTATATAGCGAGCTGGCAAACATTGTGAGTGTAGAAAATATGTAGTAATTAATGAAAGAAGTTTAAACACACCATAATCATTTATATATAATTAATTAGTACAATATTGGGAGGTTTTATTTAGGATATTAAAAAAAAAAAAAGGAAGTGAATAAAATGATGAAGAATAATGTGCCGAATTTGACACTTTAAATTTCTTACACATAAGCATGCGTCTAGGCGTTGAAGTTCCAAATTATAGTATATCAATTAACGATTGAAAATCAATACGTTGAATAAGACTAAACTTTAATTTGGATGCCAATTATGTTTTTTTCAAGTTTATATAAAGTAAAAGAATTGAATTTTGGAAGCCAGGAGTGTGTCAATTGTTTATAATTCGTCCGAATACATATATCAGGTTGCTACTCAACGTAATTTGAAAGTATATCTAGTGCAAGGACTTGTCTTTTTTTGTTGATAAGCAAAGGGTTTGTAGCTTTTTTTGCTAAGCAGTAGAACATATTATGTTTGTTTAATCTTTAGCATTTGATCGTTGTCCACAAATATAGGATAGAAGGCCCCAAATTAGATCTGGCTCTTAAGTCTTACCTAGTTGGAGTCACAAGTTCACATGTACCAGCCCTCGCAAGTCGCAGCAAAACGTTTTGGTTTCTGTAATCCCACATCGCCCACGCAAGGGCAGTGAGCAAGCACACATGCCTATAAAAGCCACATTTCCAAGCTGAGAAAAGCATGCCTTGCTCAGCCCTTTTGGCTAAGATCAAGTGTAGTTATTTGTTGAGACTTCTCAGCATTTTTTAAATATTTTTGGGTTTTGATCTTGCGATATTATCGAAAATATCGCGATAGTTTTGGAAATATCGTGATATTTAGACGAAAATCAATTGGATACCTATTAAAATATCGTTACCGTGAAAAACCGATAATATCGGCGAAATATCGCCGATATTATCGGCATTTTCTTCCTTGGTTATAAGCGATTTCTGGACAACTCTTTCCCCAGATAATTCTTCATCGAAGCCTCTCATTTGATTCATAATGTTAAACAATTTAGTAAGGTATGCAGACAAAGATTCATCATCTCTCATCCTAGTATACTCAAATTCTCTGCGCAAACTTGCAATTTCACATTTCTAACATGTTTGTCACCTCTGAACTCTTGCTGCAAGATATCCTAAGCTCCCTTCGAAGTTTCTTCGTTGGAAATCTTGGAAAAAAAAAATTGATCAATCATAGCTCCTTGGATTAACCCAATAGCCTTAGCATCCTCCATTATAATTTCCCCAAAATTTGTTGGGGTTTCAGTAGCCACACCCTTCTCCTTCTTTTCATTGGCTACTACTACCACAACACACTCTGTAGATGATCCTAGGATAGTAAACCCAGTTTCTACAAGCTCCCAAAGTCCAGGAGACTTGAGAATGCTTCGCAGTCTGATTCTCCAGAATTCATAGTTTTCACCATTGAAAACTGGAGTGCGAAGCTCAGAACGCGTTGATCCAGCCATATAAGACTCGGATCTCCGATTTTCACAGGTTTCCAAAACACAATTCTACAGGATGAGGCTCGATGAAAGCAATTCGCTGAAGAACACATAAATCACATATTTACGCCCAGATTAAAACGATGAACCTGATTCTGATACCATGTTAGTGTTTTATGGCCTCTGTGTGTGGTAATGAAGGTATCAGAGCAATTTTGTACAAGCAAAAAATTAATGAGATGATGATCTCTGCTTGAAGAGCTTGAAAGAATGGAGGTCGAGAAACTCGGAGTCGTAGCTCCTTGGATTCGATTAAGATGTAACTGAACTAATGCTTACAAAGAGAATGGAAATGGAGAGTGAGTTATAGTCGTTAGAGGCGCACTCACTCATCCAACTCACACACTCATATGCACAGCACATGCTCACCCATAAGTGAGTTGTTATGACATGTGGCACACATTTAGCCTATTAGCTTTGTTTTAATCTCAACCCTACATTACAAATTAAGAACAGACACTTCGAAATTGAAAGGAAATAAGAAACTTGGATCAAAAGCAGCTGCTGAAGCTTAAGCACCAACACACTGAACCATGAGACCAGCCTCGCCTCCTAGGCCTGAACCCCTCCTGACCTTCTCCGTCCTTGTTGCATTGCTGCCCACACCAGTCGCCGTTACCCCGCATCTGGATCCATCACCATCCTACACCCACGAAGAAAATGAGCTTGTTGCTCCTGTTTGTACGCATAGAAGAAAAACAAAAACAAAAAAGAACGAAGAAAAAAAAACGGAAGGAAAAAAGGTTGGCCATTTTTAAGTCATTGGGGCCCACGTGATGCTACAATTGGGCTTGTGTTTGAAGATTGTCGTTGCCCATCAACAGGATGATCGCTCGAGTGTTTGGACTGATCACCACTCGAGTGACGTTGTGCACCTGATTATTAATTGGATCGTTTGCCAAAATCCACTTGCTTGCTTGTTCGCTTGACTTGCTCATTTACTTGAATTGCTCGCTTGAATTGTTCGTTCGAATTGCTCGCTTGAATTGTTTGATTCAATAGCTCGCTTGAATCACTTGTCTTGTGTCTCCACCTAACGGAGCTTGCCTTGTAGTGTCACCTAACAGAGCTTGCATCCGCATCTGCTTGTTGGCAAACTCATGACGTGTACCGTCATGAGTTTGATGGGGGTTGTTTGCAAAATTAGTTATTATTAGACTATTATATATGGTATTCTTGTTAGCCAAAGATATTAGAGTTTCTTGCCTGTTAAGGATTAGGGTTTTGCCTTAGTTTTCACTATATAATAGAGCTTGTATTAGTTTATTTCAATAAGTCAGTCAAAATGTAGTCTTACGAGTTACGTAGCCATCTTGGCAAACTTGTAGGAGTCTTTCGTTTCAATTAAAAAAAATTTATTCATAGTTTATATTCGACCTACGGAGACAAATCCACTTTCAATCATGTATTCTTTTTCTTTTTTCAAAATAAAAAACTACATCATATGATCAGTAAAATGCTGGACTCAGAGAGAGTTTGTAAATAATACAAACCAGATTGGACAAGTTGACACAGAGATTTTGGCATTTGTGTGTTCAGGAGGAGGGAGTTCCAGTACCGAAATAGAGGCGGAAAGTAAAGCAGTAGCAAGTCTTTGCCTTGCCGATGCCACCAGTGTGAGCTGCAGTTAGAACATATCTATTCTCATTAATTAGTAATTAAGAGATATAAAGAAAATCAAAGGGAAATTTCAAATTTTACTGATCGATCATCAATCTCGATGGATCGAGCTAATTACTTACAGTGACAATGACAGGACTCTCAAGTTTTGCAACAGGAAATAAACTACTGGGAAGGATGAATGAAGAGATCGAACTCAGAGCTAAAAAGCTGCTACTTCATATGGTGTCAATCTTTATAGGGGAAGTCAGAGACGCTGAAGAACTATCAAATTTGACGGGTTTAGGTGTGAACCATGCAGCCCCTTGCATTGGCTTGTGTGAAGCTTGCACGGCATACAAAACTTATGTGTCAGTAGAAAACCACTAGATCCAACCAGAAAACGCAGAGCGTGCAGTGCCCAGAAGTTTTGTCCTTTCTTTTCTTCTTCTTCCTTGTTCTGTTGTGTGGAGGAAACGAAGAATTTAATCTAAACTGCGGGGACGTGGATTCAAATTCATGAGCGTAAGAGGAGCGCCATCCGCTCTAACCAAGCAATATGTAATCTCCAAATACCTGACCATGTACCACAATGTGAGAACTCAGAAAAGACTTTGTGACATAAGTTGGCGAATTTCAACCTTAACTTTCTTCTTCGTCGCACAATGTTCAAGTCTCCCCCCATTATAACAGCAGAAGACAAATCACGCCAAAAATCTTCCTGATTAACGAGCTCCAGCATATAGTCTAGTCTAGTAACCTGAGCCTGCAGCTCCTGAGCAACTTGAAGGGCCATCATTCTTTGAAAGTAAAATTTAGCACAATCATCATGTTCCTTGAGCTCCAGCATATAGTCTAGGCCAGTGACCAAAGCTGGCAGCTCATCAGCAACTTGAAGGGCCATCATTCCTTGAATTTAAAATTTAGCAGATGTTCCTTGACACAGCCAAAGTTAAAAGAGTTTATCTACTTGCCAAGTGCTTTCAGAAAATAGATGTTGCAATTCCTAAGGCCTTGGCGATTCCAACTCACAGTGCCTGAAAATTGCTTCAAACATGTAACACTTCTGAAACAGCACAGCAGCTCCACAGATTTGTAGCATGATAAAAAGAATCATCAATAAGTGGGGATCAAGTTTCCACCATGCTATCATATCCTTTGCGACTCATCATTGGCTTCACCTTCATTGTCTGCCTATACCTGCTCACTATACCGTCTTTTATTGTTTTACGCACATCATCGTCAAGCAAATTGACTTCTCCAGCTGAATTTAGTGCATAACAAACTAATTTATACGTATACTCTCTAGGTATCGAGCCTCCATCAATCATCTCAACAAGAAAATCTCGGGCATCTATGATCCTTCCTGCTTCACACAAGGCATGAATGATTGGAGTATACGAACTTGAAGTAGGCATTCCGTGTTTCAAATTTTGCATCTTCCATAGCATTTCAACAGCCTTATCAATCTCATTAACTGCAGCATAGTACCTAATAAACGAATCATAAGTAACCCGATTGGGGGTACAACCCCTTTTGTTCATATCTTCAAACAACTCCAACGCCCTCTCAATCCGGTAAGTTTTGCAACAACCATTGATCAAAGAATTGTAAGTGACAACATCAGGAACAAAACCACTGAAAAGCATGTTTCGAAACATGTGGTTGGCTTCCCACAACCGCCTCCGGATGGCCTTCCTACACCCCGTCTCTAAACCATACCTACAATAAGAACTAATCAAAATCGTATAAGTGAACACATCCGGCGGGCATCTAAACCCCGGCAACTCCATCTGCTCCAACAAAAACCGGGCCTTATTGAAATTCCCAACTCTGCAAAGAGCATAAATAATGGTGTTATAAGCATACACATCCGGCTTGCAATGAAACTGCTTCATTCTATAAAAAGCAGCCAATGCATCATTAACCAAGCCTTCCTCTCCTAGGACTTTTATCAAACAGGTAACGCTCTCTGTGGTAACAAGCCCGCCGCTCCCTCTCTTCGACATTTCTTTGAGAAAATCCCAAAGGGCTTTCAACCTATTCCCTCTGGCCAAAACAATCGCCATCTCCCTGCAAGTCCGTTCGTTGTGGGCAAACCTGAAACGGGTTTCGACCCAGTAGTAGAATTCGAGTGCTTTGTCCGACCCGAGCTGAACTTTGTCGAGATCTCTGTGGGCTGCCGGGCCGAGAACGAGCACGTTGTTGTGGAATTTGTAAGATTCTTGCCTGAGGTTGCGTTGCTTCAATGGAGCGCGGTGGCGGAACCCGGTTTGGCGGCCGACGGAGCGGGGGGACTGGAAGAAGAATCTGGGTATGGAAATTAGGACTTGGGAAACCGAGTCCGCAGTCCACGGCTGAGAGGCGGCGGCGGAGGCGGCGGCGGAGGCGGCGGCGGAGGCGGCGAGATTGGAATCGAAGGGCTGGTTTTTGAGCATGGCGGCGAGGACTTGGTTGACTATGGGTTTGAAAGGTTTTGAACCGTTCATGTTTTGAAATTTTCTGTTGATCTTTAGTGTGGGAGATTGGTTGAGAATCAACGGTGGTGGGTAATGGTTTCTGGGTTTGATGGGATGAGGGTATGATGGGATGCCATTGACGGAGTTGTTGCAGTTCCTGGGAGGGAGGAAAGTGAAATATGAAGATCGAATATATGAGGAAAAATTAGTTGGGCTTCGGTTGGTTGGGTTCAGGCGGTTGCTTTTGGCTCATCCAACAATCAAGTGAAAATTAAAGGCGTGACACTTGAATATTGTCGCAGTTTCTTACTTACAAGTTCGAAATAAATTTAAGGGTAAAAGACTGTTTACTATTCTTATGTTTTGTGGTTTCAACATTTAGTACATCAAGTTTTTTTCGTCTCAGATTCATACCTAAAGTGTAAATTTTGGGATAGTCTCATACATCTTTTAGTCAAACTGTTAAATTTGTCATTAATTGTGACGTGGCGCCATGACTGGGCGCCACATGTCATCCACGTTTTTTTTTTTTTCTTTTCTTCTTTCTTCTGCAATTTTTTTTTCTTCCTCCTTCTCCTTCTTCCTTCCTCCTTCCTCCTTCTTTATTCTTCCTTCCCCTTCTTCTCCTTCTTCCTTCTTCTTCTTCCTCCGAATCTGGGGAAGTTTTTTTTTTTTTTTTTTTTTTTTTTTTTTTTTTCTTCTTTCTTCTTCTTCCTCCTTTTTCCTTCTTCTTCTTCTTTATTCTTCTTCTTCTTCTTCTTCTTCTTCCTCCGACTGCAACCTTTTTTTTTTCTTCCTCTTTCTTCCTTCCCCTTCTTCCTTCTTCTTCCTTCTTCTTCAAATCTGGGGAAGATGACGATTTTTTTTTTTTTTTGAGGAAGATGAAGAAGAAGGAAGAAGGAAAGAAGGAAGGAAGGAGAAGAAGGGGAAGAAGGAAGAAGGAAGAAGGAGAAGGAAGGAAGAAGGAAGGAAGAAGGAGAAGAAAAGAAGGGGAAGAAGGAGGGAAGAAGAGAAGGAAAGGGGAGGAAGAAGGAGGATGGAAGAAGGAGGAAGGAAGAAGGAGAAGAAGAAAAAGGAGGAAGAAGGAGGAAGAAGGAGAAGAAGAAAAAGGAGGAAGAAGGAGGAAGAAGAAGAAGAAGGGGAAGGAAGAAGGGGAAGGAAGAAGGAGAAGAAGAAAAAGAATGAAGAAAGAGGAAGAAGAAGAAGGAAGAAAAAAAAAAGTTGCAGTCGGAGGAAGAATGAAGAAGAAGAAGGAAGAAGGAGGAGGAAGAAGAAGAAAGAAGAAAGAAGAAAAAAAAAAACAAAACCTTCATCTTCCCCAGATTCGGAGGAAGAAGAGGAAGAAGGAAGAACAAGAAGAAGAATGGGAAGGAAGAAGGAGAAGGGGGAAGGAAGAAAAAAAAAAAGTTGCAGTCGGAGGAAGAAGAAGAATAAGAAAGAGGAAGAAGGAGGAAGAAGAAGAAAAAAAAAATTCCCCAGATTCGGAGGAAGAAGAAGAAGAAGAAGAAGGAGAATGAGAAGGAAGAAGGAGAAGAAGGAGAAGAAGGGGAAGGAAGGAGGAAGGAAGAAGGAGAAGGAGGAAGAAAACAAAAAAAAAGTTGCAGAAGAAGGAAGAAGAAGGAAGAAGAAAAAAAAACGTGGATAACATGTGGCGCCCAATCATGGTGCCACGTCACAATTAACGGCAAATTTAACAGTTTGACTAATGGATGTATGAGACTGTCCCAAAATTTACACTTTAGGTATGAATCTAAGACGAAAAAAACTTGATATACTAAATGTTGAAAACCACAAAACATGAAGGTAGTAAACAGTCTTTGATGCATCGGTATATGAAATACGTTATGTTAGTTGATGACTGTGTACGCTTTAATTAAACATTTCAATTTAGCCCGTTTATGATCGGTGGAGGATCAAATTAAATCAAATTTATTTTGCAATGCGCCACTTATGATCTAATTCCGTCTATATTTTGGTTTATGTTGACATCTAAAACATCAGTGATGAATCCATATTATACTATATATTTTACCATAATCTTAGCATTAATTTGTTAGTTATTTTGGCAAACTTTTGATACTTTGTTGTATATTTTCAATGTAGGATATTTGACTTCTTTTGGAGCAAAAAGTGATCAAACGGATGAATTTTGGAGTGATTCCAATTGAAGGATGTTTTGGACATTTTGAAATAAAAGCCCCGTGCGCAGCTTTTCCAGATTGACTTTTCTAGACGTTTTGGGCATTTTGAAGGTCAAGATGGAATATTTTGAGGAAGATTAATTCTGATGATTTGTAGGGGACGTCTTAAGCTTTCAAAAGGGACCTTTTAGGACCAAATCAGAGTTGATTTGGTCAGTCAAAAGTTTGATTTTCTTAGAAGTCCGAATTTTAGTTCAAATAGGAAACCTTTAATTTTTGTTTTATTATTTTTATTATGTTTCCTAGTTTTATTGACACACCCTGACCGGGAATGTCCACTAGAACTCCGAATCGAGCTGTGTTGGCCGACACCTGGAAGGTGACGAAGCCATAAAGTGTGATAATGTATAAAAGGTGAATAAATTAAAACATAAAAGTCCCTAAGTATGCGAGTGTGCGGTGAGCGGATCTGGACCCATTTCACACGTGATACAGAGCATAGGTATAGTGCAGTAAGGTGAGGCAATTATCATACCATCACAAGAAAACATCTGTACCGAAAAGTGCCACGAATCCTCGTCGATACGAAACTCTGCTGCTAGAACCTGGAGGGGTACAAAAATAGAAAATGTGAGTGAGTGAAACAAAACTTTTCAAACCAATTCCAACTACCAAAGGCAGTAGCCCCTCACCTTAATACCTGTATAATTTCCCGGAAAGTAACAGGCGTGAATATAAATCAATACCATAACGAAAATAATAGTCTCACAGTTATACCGTGTCAAATATCTCAATAAGAATAAGAACTCAGGTGAAATAAATCAATATGAAATGGCACATTAGCCGGATCCACCTATAGTGGCCTGTACAGCTAAATTAATAGCTCATCAACATGCTAGTCGGAGTCACCTCACGTGACCTATACGACTTATCCATATCTCATCAATCAAGGCTAGCTCATAAGTCGGAGTCACCTCTAGTGACCTATACGACTTATCCATATCTCATCACGTATGCTAGCTCATCATATATCTCATCATACATGCTAGCTCATCACATATATCAACATACATGCTAGCTTATCACATATCTCATCGTATATGCTAGCTCATCACATATCTCATCGTATATGCTAGCTCATCACATATCTCATCATATATGCTAGCTCATAAGTCGGAGTCACTTATAGTGATCTGTACGACTTATCCATAGCTCAATAAATATACCTGCACACGAGTTGGAACCCCCTAAAGTGGTTTGTACAGCAGGACTGGGTGTAAATAAATACACTCAATTGCTACTATCAAGTGAAGACTGTGCTAATAATCGCGGTCACCTACGAGGAACCACTTATAGTGGTCTGTATGACAGGACTGTGCACCTACCTTGGATCCAAGGTGAGCGTAAAGTACGGGAGGTGAACATCACGTGAAGAACTGTGCCCTGGCCACGGGTGGGAGCACTAACAACAGAGTGCAGGTTTATAAGCTCTCAATGCATCTTAACATAACATGTACGATTCATAGGCAACCCGTACAATAGTGTCGGAGTTTCTTAAAACATTATATAGTCATGCTATAACTCCATCATTTCAACTAATACCATAAACTCACCTAAACTTACCTGGGTGTCCTGTGTTCACCTTTGTACTTCAAGCGTTCACAATAATTATATGCAGATGGTATACATATAGATAAACCACGATGAAATTTGATACTCTACCACTTTATAGCATTTCCAATTATATACATACATACATACATATATATATATATATATATATATATAATGTGGCATAAAAATGCATAAACTATAACGCCCTACTCCCGAATTATTTATTTTTGGAAATAATTATCGGTGACAAGCCCAACTAGACATTAGTTTAATTAATTATCATTACTTACGCTTCCTTACTTCAGATTCTTGATTCTTTACACATTAATTTATGACCAACATTTAACCACCAACTCATAAGGTTAAATCTCATATTTTCCACCCATGTCTCTCACATTGCTTAATTCCCTAAACAAAGCTATTGTCTCAATTATTGTATGGCTACATCTAACGTCTCGTTAGACTGCCTATGTACCCTGAACAGGGATCAAGCCATTTGTAGTTCACAATAGTATTTCAAAGCATTCACAGTAATCATAAGCAATAATCAATTTATAAACATCTATAGAATTGTCAATCATATATATACATATATATAATACACGATATAATGGAAAAGACCCACTCACCTGAGGTCCGTGCCACGACTTCCTATCACGCATATCGAGACATCACGAACCATCGTCGCCTATGACCAATTATCAAATCATATCTCAGAGTTCTGACCGATAAATACATAATTTACATAAAACGCATCCCTACGTAATTCAATTCAGAAGATCTGCATCACGGATTTCCGATCCGTTGCTTCCAAAGATTCACATTATACTTCTAGAATAACATCCTAAAGTTTCATTATGATCCAATGATCGGATCTCCGCCAATTGCCAAAATCAAGTGGCGGTCAACATTTTATTTTATGAACTTACAAATCCAATTCGGGAAGATCCGTACGTCGGATTCCCGATCCGTAAGTTTCTATGGTTCTCAAATATTACGTACTATAACATATTAAAGTTTGTGATGATCCAACGATCGGATCGTCAATTCATATAATGACCTATTAACGTAACGTAGAGAATTTAGATTCTAACAATCAACCTACATCATAATGTGAACACAAAAATTTCCTGAAAGGAAAGAGACAAGAACAACGTGCACAAAATAATATTTGTATTTGATGATTTTGGGTTACAATCTCTCTCAAATTTGATCCTCTTATTCGATCTCCTTAAGGTGTGTATTTGTGGATGTGTGATTGATCCAAGGGCCGTCGAGGCTTGATCTTGGATGAACGTTCTTTAAGGGCCGTGGGCTTGATCTTTGAAGGTGGATTTAAGCGGATCTTCAAGGAGCTGTTGGGGCTTGATCTTGAGGATGAGTGTTTCTTCAAGAGCCGTTGAGGCTTGATCTTGAATAACGGTGATGAGCGGATCTTCAAGGGTTTTTGGGCTTGATCTTGAAGAACAGTGATGAACGGATCTTCAAGGGCTTTTGGGCTTGATCTTGAAGAACGGTCGCTTGTTGATCCAAGGGCCGTCGGGGCTTGATCTTGGAAGAAC